TGAAATTTGGGCTGTTGGCTTTTCCACAAGGAGTAGAATTGGAAGACCTCAAAGATGAGGTCATAAGGCCAAAAATGTCTTTATTGAAACAGAAGAAAAACAGCAACAGTGGTATTAGATATTCTGTGAATCTCAGATACATGAGGATCTTTCCTTCAAAATGTAACAGCATTAAGGGGTAACTTCAGTAAAAAAAACTAAAGTTTTTTTATAGCTCAGTTAATACTTTTTTTCTAACTGCCTGTGACCCAGCTGGGCAGTTTCATCTCATTGCAGACCCCTGTGACTGCAGAATAAGAAATAAGGGGAGTAGTTGTTACTGGGAATACACCCAGTAATAATATTCTGACAGAAGTTCTGACACTTTCCCATTTTACTTGATATCCCAAGTGGAGATATTCTTGAGGATTAATTATTTCATAGTACCTGCGACTACAGAGGTTAGTGAGGGCTTGGTTTGAAGCTTCTTTACTTCTTGTTAATTTTGTGTAGATATTTGAATGTTCATAACCTGGCCACATTTCTACTTTAACTTTCTGTCGCCCATGTAATGCATTTGTACAGCAGCAGAGAGGGTAGGTTTTAACACTCACATGCTGCAAATATGCGTCCATGGGTGGCAGAGGCTTCTGTTCCGAATGAGCTCAAAGACAGCTCCTGGTCTCTAGTCATGATTGGGATCCAGGGGGATCAACTCCTGATCATGTGACCACTGTGACAGCCACTCACCGTTATCATGTGGTCAGGCAGACCTTCCTGTCCCCAGGCATAATATCTCAGTTTTAAGGATGCCAGGGCTGGGTGGAAAGGGGTTAAAGGGTAAAAAAATGGAAGCCTTGTTTTTGAGGGTGTATGATAAATGGATGTCAGGAATATTACTATTGAAGAATAGAATCAGTAGCCAGAACCTTTAGATGGGACTGATGACAACAGCTGAAAAGCAGAATCCGGTTCAGGCAGCAGTGTGAAAAGCCTAGGTCAATATCCGGAAACAAACCAGAGTCCAGGCAGTGAAGATCAAAAGTGTGTGTAAGCTCGGAATCCAAGAACAAACAGTATAGCAGAGGGATAGTAAGTTGGACATGGAACAATAATAAGGTAGTGGAGCGGGGAACTGAATGGACTTTCAGCAAAACCAAAAATGTAATACATTGCACCTTACCAGTCTACAGATGTGGTGGCATTAGTTTTTATCAGTCTTCTTTCCTTTTATTTTCACATGGTCATTCTGTGAATAACACACATCCTGTCCTGTCATGGCTACACTCACTGCTCCATTGTGTCTATGGAGGGAGCCATGGTTGTCACACAGGCTGAACTTCAACATGTCTGGCTTTGATCATTTCCATTGCATAGGAGATTAATGGGACAAGCACCTGTTTACACCTTTGCCTTGCATTAATTGCTATGCAGAGTCATACAAAGCAGCATGCTGGAGCTGACGGGGAAAGACCTGTATTGTTTACATACAGACCTCTCCCCGCCAGTGATACTCGGCGATTGCACGGTGATGGTGGGGAATCTCCGTCCGGGACCCGGTAATCGACAGCTGAAGCCGCTACATGGAAATGCAAAAATCACATATATATACGTATTTCTGCTATAGGGCTGCGGGAAAACGGTTAATGATGATTAATGAATACAGGGCTGTATTCATTTGTGTTGTTCATATGTGCTTGGAATTCAGATTTAGCCCTGGTTCATACCGGTGTGACTTGTCATGTGATTTGACAGTTCCAAATTGCATGACAAGTTGCACCTCATTGTGCCTATGGAACCATTCTAATCAGTGTGACTCAGAGGCGGACTGACAACTCATGGGGCCCCCGGGCAATAGGGGATCATGGGGCCCATGTCCTTGCCCAAACTCAAAAAAGCTTCTGAAAAAGGTACCAGGGGCATCACATGGGGCTCCCTACTGACCCCGGGCCCTCGGGCAGTGCCCGAGTTTCCAAATGGTCAGTCCGCCCCTGGTGTGACTCTAACTTTGCGGTGTGGCACTGATTTTAAAAAAAGGTTCCTGCACTATTTTTGGTGATTTCATAGACTTCTATGCATGAAGTCGCACAGGTGTCAGGCAAGCTGCACATGAAATCGCACTGACCGGCGGTTTTGAAATATCACTACTTCAAGTGAAGTAGCACCATTCAAAGCTGCATTCAGTGTACCAGGGCTTAAGGTCCAGTTGTAAATTTATTAATATTGGATAGAATTGTATACTAGTGTGAGCTTGTAGAAGATCCAACATATTAATAACAATTGGATCATATAGTATAAAAAACACAGACTGGAAACTGAAAATATTTCATAAGATGTAACTAGATAGTAAAAATGTCTTCACCTGTTGTGGTCTCTTATTTCAATCCAGTTTCCGTCTATTTTTATTGCAGAATATTTCTTTTTTGTACCAATCTGCCAAATTGGAAGTTATTTTATAATCATTGCATACAGGGAATATGGCTCTAAGATTTATGATACCCAGCTTGATGCTCCGTGTCATTCAACAGACAACCCAGGAGATAAAATTGAACTACATCAAAAGAGGTTACGCCTGGTTTGTCGGTAACGATATGCAAAGATTATTTACGCCATCTTGTATGTCATTTTCACAGGTCTATACACCCTCTATCAAAGCTTCTTAAATCATAACTTCTGAAAAGTTTCCCCCAGACAGCTGCCTGCTGTTCCACTTTAAATCATAGTCATTCTTCAAGCCTATCAGTAATCACTGGGCAACCAGAGCGATTAGAACAAAACAGACATATTCCCAACTAATAAATCCAATATTTAGGTCAACACCAAGACCATCTTTACAGCAAATATTTTAACAGCATGTGCTTTTCATTTTGACTGTGTGTGGTGCAGTTGAAGTTTTGTCATCCACTGTAATTCCTGCCAGAGGGCAGATTGTGCAAAATAATCGGAAAAATATTAAAAGATAAAAAGAAGGAAATAACTCTTAACCTTTCGAATGCCAATCAAAAATGAAGACACTTTTTTATGTAACGGGGTCGTAGAAACGTACACTTTATTGAAGCATTCCAGATATATTTGTCACATGAGCAGGTATTAAAAAATAGTATTAATGATAATACATTGTGACATTAATAATAAGAAAATAAATAGTAAAATATAAATAATTTTTGTATAGTCTGCTAATAGACATTTGTCTATTTGGCATTTGTCTCTCAACCAATTGTAGTGCTACCGTCATAAAAGCTGCTTGGTAATTTGGGTTCTCTGTTTTGCTAAGGACAACCTCACCCCCTCTGACACACCTGGTTGAATGAAAGTTACTGAAAGCACTGGTAACAGCAAAAGTATAGATATCTTTAACTTTCCTATGACTTCCAGGAAATAGGCACAATACCATGGTAAATTAACTGAATGTATTGGTATGAGTCAACAAATGGTGGCTTGAGCATAAATGAACACACAGAAGGTAGGTTCAGACACAGTACACTAGACAGTATGATCTCTATGCCAGGGAAACTTAGAATAGAGTACTGTCCCACTAGACTGAGACTCATGAATCAGCAAAGTTGTCAATAAAAAGAGCATATAAACTTTAACTACAATACAAATAATAATACTTTAACTAGTCTAGAGTGCAATTTGGGAGAATGGCTAGGTTATGGTGCAATGTTCCCTGAGAAGTATCTCTTAACTTAAGCAGTAGGTGAAGGTCTCTGTGTAGCAGCTTTAAAGGGATTTTGTTTGGTCCTAACTCATTAGTTGGCTAGGGTTGGGGCCCAGTTGTAATGTTGGTGCACATGAAAATAATCCCAGTCAAGCCTGGAGGCAGCAATAAGGCTATTAGACGGATGAGTGGCCAATTCCTAAAGGGCTCAGTCTCTCTCTCTAGCAGTAGATACTGTAGTAAACCCCCAAACTCAGCTATCTGGATCCCACTAAGGCTACCAATATGCAGCAGTGATGGTGCATACTGGACAGTGATGTGCACTCTCTGGTCCCCCTCATGGCAAGAGGAAGCTGTGTCCTTTACAGCCTGAGAAAAGTCAGCTCTTTCCCCTCCTCCTGGCAATTTCTTTCTAGGAAATGCAGTTCAAAAGCTCTTGATTATAACAGAGTCTCTCTCCTATGGACCACAGTTCCCACAGTGCAGTGCTGCCTGACTCAGTCTATTAAACACTTCCTGCCCAACAGTGTCCTCTTTTTATTAAAATAGCTGTTGACCAGTTCAGCACCACAGGGCAGCAGCTACAGAGAGCAGCAGCAGCCAGTGTTTCTCTCATTCTCCATTCTTAGCCAAGCACCTGTCTACACAATGCAGCTAATTTTGGCAAGAACTGGCAATGAATGAGAACCTTATGTACATCTTTAGAAGAGACCCCAGGAAGATATTTTTGAGGAAGAAGAGCTGCTCTGAAATATGGTGTGCACAGAAATATAGGAAGTTAATAAAAAAAATTTGGATTTTAGGTACTTGTATTATGTCACATGCTGGTGGAGTGAACAGGGCCCTGGTGGAGTGAACAGGTGGCACAAGAGTATTAACTGACAAAAGTGCCTTGTAGCTTTTTCCGGCAGTAGAGATGGGAAGAGCATCTGAGCAGAGTCAGGCCGGGCAGCAGGGAAAGGCATTTGAAGACAAGCTAGGTGGCAGGCAGGTGATCAGCAGCAGAAACTGTCTGGGCTGGCAGGCTAGAGACCAACAAGTAGCTGGTGGGCCAGCAAGCAGATGGTCAGTGGAGACAGGCTGGTCAGCAGACCATTTATTAGCAGGAACTGGCTTGGCAGCAGGCGGAGGACCAGTGGAGTCAGACAAGCCAGGTCCAGGGGCGGACTGACCATTTGGAAACTCAAGCACTGCCCAAGGGCCCGGGGTCAGTAGGGGGCAGCATGAGATGCCCCTGGTAACCTTTTTCATAGGCTTTTTTGAGTTTGGGCAAGGACACAGGGGCTCCATGATCCCCTATTGCCCGGGGGCCCCATGAGTTGTCAGTCCACCCCTGGCCAGGTCAGTAACAGACAATCAGATCAAGTGTGGAAGAATAGTCAGGATACAAGCCAGCACCGAGTCAGTAATAGGTGAGTAGATCAGATGAATAATATGCACTGCTTGTTGCAAACAAATAAAAGTGAGGGGGAGAAAGGAGATGTTCAGGAGCCCACACAGAATGTTACAAGTAGGCAGAAAAACATCAACAATTTCATGAAACCTTTCCTCATCTGCCCATCCTCCATTCACAAAGTGCTTTTCATTACTGGAAGCTATAGTACAGCTTCTATGAATGGAGGAGGGGACTGAAAGGGCAGGAATAATCAGCACTCTTGAGGAGGATTACCACTACAGGAGGGTATGGAGGGGCAGAGGACGGAAGAATTTTAATTAAGAGAACAGACACCAGCACAAGGGACACTTCTCATTCAATGTAAGTCCCATCCAGGGGCGGGCTGACAACTCATGGGGCCCCTGGGCAATAGGGGATCATGGTGCCCCTGTGTCCTTGCCCAAACTCAAAAAAGCCTATGAAAAAGGTACCAGGGGCATCTCATGGGGCCCCCTACTGACCCCGGGCCCTCGGGCAGTGCCCGAGTTTCCAAATGGTCAGTCCGCCCCTGGCTCCATCCCTTGTGCTGATTTAAAAAAAAAAACAAAAAACAAAACCTAAACTTAGGCTTTAAATTAATATGTATTTTTATTTCTACATAAACTGTTGAAAATATTTGTAAAATATATTTTTTTACATATAGTACAAATTACACATTATTAAGCACAATTTGATTGCCCCTAGATGTCAACCCCTTCCCAGCCAGTGTTTAGTATTGTCACAGATTATTATTATTATACAGTATTTATAAAGCGCCAATAGTTCGCTCAGCGCTGTACATTACAAAGGGGGACAGAACATGTGACAGAACAATACCAATACAATGCAAAACATGAGGGGAAGATCAGTGTATTAGTGTCACTAGCGATATCCGTGTCTGTCAGTGGCTGTTAGCGCCAGACTGTTCGTCACACTATGTCGCACAAAACAATTAATAAACACTTATTGGGTTTTTACCAAAGACATGTAGCAGAATACATTTTGGCCAAAATTTATAAAGAAATTTGATTTTTAAAATTTTTTATTGGGTATCTTTTATAACAGAAAGTAGAATATATATATATATATATATATATATATATATATATACAGTTGCAAGAAAAAGTATGTGAACCCCTTGGGATTACGTGGATTTTGCATGAATTGGGCATACAATGAGCTCTGAACGTCATCTAAGTCACAACAATAGAAGAACACAGTCTGCTGAACATAATACTACACAAACATTAGATGTTGCCATGGTTTAATTGCACATAACATGTAAACATTCACAGTGCAGGGAGGAAAAGGTATGTGAACCTTTGGACTTCATAACTGGTTGACCCTCCTTTGGCAGCAATAACCTCAACCAAACATTTCCTGTAGTTGCAGATCAGACCTGCACAATGATCTGGAGTAATTTTGGATCACTCCTCTTCACAAAATGGTTTCAGTGTAGCAATATTCTTGGGATGTCTGGTGTGAATCGCTCTCTTAAGGTCATGCCACAGCATTTCAATCAGGTTGAGGTCAGGACTCTGACTGGGCCACTCCAGAAGGCGTATTCTGTGCTGTTGCAGCCATTGTTTTGTTGAATTAACTGGTATGCTTTGGGTCATTGTCCTGTTGCATCACCCATCCTCTGCGGAGCTTCAGTTGGCAGACAGATGGGTCGTACGTTTTCCTGCAAAATGTCTTGATAAACTCTGGAATTCATTTTCCCATCAATGACAACAATCCGTCCAGGCCCTGAGGCAGCAAAGCAGCCCCAAACCATGATGCTCCCTCCACCATGTTTTACAGTGGGGATGAGGTTTTGATGTTGGTGTGTGCTGTGCCTTTTTTTCCACACATAGTGTTGTGTGTTCTTCCCAAACAACTCAATCTTGGTTTCATCTGTCCACAGTATATTTTGCCAGTAGTGCTGTGGAACATCCAGGTGCTCTTTTGCAAACTTCAAAACGTGATGCAACATTCTTTTTGGACAGCAATGGCTTCCTCCGTGGTGTCCTCCCATGTACTCCATTCTTGTTTAATGTTTTCCTTATTGTAGATGTGTCAACAAAATGTTAGCATGTGCCAGAGATTTCTGTAGGTCTTTAGCTGACACTCTGGGATTCTTCTTTACCTCGTGCAGCATTCTGCGCTGTGCTCTTGCAGTCATTTTTACAGGATGACCACGCCTAGGGAGAGTAGCAACAGTGCTAAACTTTCTCCATTTGTAGACAGTCTGTCTTACCATGGACACATGAACATCAAGGCCTTTGGAGATACTTTTGCAACCCTTTCCAGCTTCATGCAAGTCAACAATTCTTGATCGTAGGTCTTCTGAGAGCTCTTTTCTGCGAGGCATGGTTCACATCAGACAGTGCTTCTTGAAACCAGTAAACCCAAAACAGGTGTGTGTTTTTTAAGGGCAGGACAGCTGTCAGCAACACATCCAATATCATCACACTGATTGGAGTCAAGGTTGGCTCACTCCTGGCTCCAATTAGCTCTGGGAGAAGTCATTAAGCTAGGGCCTCACATACTTTTTCCTCCCTGCACTGTGAATGTTTACATGTTATGTGCAATTAAACCATGGCAACATCTAATGTTTGTGTAGTATTATGTTCAGCAGACTGTGTTCTTCTATTGTTGTGACTTAGATGACGTTCAGAGCACATTTTATGCCCAATTCATGCAAAACTCCACGTAATCCCAAGGGGTTTCACATACTTTTTCTTGCAACTGTATATATATATATATATTTTTTTTTTTTTTAATTTTCAATCTTTTTTCAAATATGACCAAAAGAAAGCTCTATTTGTAGGAAAATAATTATAAAAATGTAATTTGAGTACAGTGTTGCATGACCGAGTAAATTGCTAGTTAAAGTACCGCAGTGCTAAATAGCAAAAAATGCTTTGTTCATGAAGGGGGAAAACCTTCCAGAGGTCAAGTAGTTAATACACCCCTGTGCATGTGGCCCAAAAGTCCCATTCATTTTCTTTTCATGGGTATTAACTTTTGAGTTACAATTCCATAACAAGCACGCAGCCAATGACCATCGGAAAAGTTAAATCGTTTCAATCTACACTTGCTCGGGGCAAGTGACTTACAGCATTGAAGCCAAAGCCTCAACACAAAAGCCAGGCAATTAGCATTTTCAGATGCCCATGTCAGCAATGGCCATCTGCATATTTTTTTCCCATGACAGGTTTTCTTTAAGGCCTTTGCAAAGAGCTAAACAGCAGCATTTCCTTGACATTGACAAAACTCTTAGGTCTTGTAATTGAATATAAAATCCTCTTTTTGCCATTTCTCCGAGGTATAAATTTGATTTATAACTTTTCTATCTGTGTAATATCAATATACACGATGCCAATGAGCTGATGCGAGTAAAATCAATAGGTATAATTTTGCTGACACTGAGATAATTAAATGTTCTATCCATTTTTAGAGCACTACGAAAGACCCTTTTTGAAAATACTTTTTTTTTTTTAAATAAAAATGTCATGTGCTGATGGCTTAAGATGATCGTGTTTTTTCTTCTTCCGCAATCTTTTTTCATTTCCATAAAAGTTAACTACGTCAAATCACACACGTCCACAGATTTTCTAATTCCTGATTAGGAGGGCTACGGGGCTGGAGCCTGCATACATCAGTGCTATTTTTTGGAGCTGGGCTACGGGAAAGATCCTAATGAAAATATTTCTTCTGTGGCCGATGTTGATGAGCTGAGTAGTGCGATTATTTATTAAATAAGCGTTTGAGGGCAATGTTAACTAAAGTGTTTGCAGCTTGTGCAAATTATCTATTGGTCACATGATGCCTGTTCTATATTAAAGGGAATCTGGCAAAATTAAAAAATAAGATCTACACTCGTTGTTTGGAAATATGCTGCTTCCGGGGTTGCCATCATTATCTTCTCATAGGGGATGATTCGCTGATCCAGGGCAAGTATGTAGCAAGTGAGGTTTAAAGCGGAACTTGACCTGCTGTTCTCCTTATCCCCCATCTCTGTAAAAATTGGAACAGTTTTTCCTGGGGTAGAGCGAGTACTTCGTTTTGACAGGTACCCACTCCATCTTCTGCTAGGACCACCTAGGCGATTGGAGCAGAGGTTTTCCTCCCTCCTCCTCTCCCCGCAGCCTCTTGGGACACATCACAGGTCACAAGACACAGTCACATTTGGCTGCCCACAGTTAAAATGCCGGCAGTGAAGAAACCAGCCATGTGAGCACAGCGCTGGATCTCTGCACAGATGAGTGGTTGTTTTTCAAAAGTCAGCAGCTACAGTTTTTGTAGCTAAAACTAGGGGGGGGGGTTCAGAGGAAATGTGGTGGTATACAGTTCTGGCACTTCCAACACTGAATTATGTACTGGCAAGGTTTGCAGTTTGGGATATTGATGCTGGCTGTTTGGGGATCTATTGTTCGCTGGGGGATGGAGTGTTGCTGGGGGGGATCAACTGTTGCAGAGGAAGGAGGTCTATTTTTCGGGGGGGTTGTCTATTATTGTTGTTGGGGGATATATTGCTGATGGGAGGTCTTATGTTGATGAGGGGAATCTGCTGTTGGGGGTGGGGGTCTATACAGTTGCAAGAAAAAGTATGTAAACCCCTTGGGATTATGTGGAGTTTTGCATGAATTGGGCATAAAATGTGCTCTGAACGTCATCTAAGTCACAACAATAGAAGAACACAGTCTGCTGAACATAATACTACACAAACATTAGATGTTGCCATGGTTTAATTGCACATAACATGTAAACATTCACAGTGCAGGGAGGAAAAATTATGTGAACCTTTGGATTTAATAACTGGTTGACCCTCCTTTGGCAGCAATAACCTCAACCAAACGTTTCCTGTAGTTGCAGATCAGACCTGCACAACGATCTGGAGTCATTTTGGACCACTCCTCTTCACAAAACTGTTTCAGTGTAGCAATATTCTTGGGATGTCTGGTGTGAATCGCTCTCTTAAGGTCATGCCACAGCATTTCAATCGGGTTGAGGTCAGGACTCT